TCAAAAATTATATTTGACTTTTAATTTTAATTATTTTTTAGCAAAGAGTTCCGAAATCTCTTACACACATAATGGGGATTTTTTTCATCCATATAATTCGCAATTAAGTATATATGTTAATTATTAATTTTAATAAAATAAAAATTAAAATTAAAGGTCAAATATAATTTTTAAACACAAATATATTAAATTAATTATAAAACGTATACCCATGATAGTATTTTTCTCGTACAAAAATAATTAGAGTAAATTAAATTAATCATAAAAGATTAAAAATTAATTAAAGAATTTAAACTTATATTTTATATAATAATAATAAAACATTTTATTACGTCAAACCGTCGTGAAATAATTAAATAAAATTTGCTAGTTACGTCAAAGTCAAGTTTTCTAAGCTTATAAAACATTTTATTAAAAAACAGATTCAATAAATATAAGTACATGTTATATATATACTTATATTTATTGAATCTGTTTTTTTTATAAAATGTTTTATTATTATCATATATAATATAAATTATTTAATTATTTTTTTATTTTTTTATGAGTAATTTAATTTATTCTAGTTATTTTTGTACGAGAAAAATACTATCACGGGTATACGTTTTATAACGAATTAAATATATTTATGTTCAAAAATTATATTTGACCTTTAATTTTAATTTTGTATTTTATTAAAATTAATAATTAACATATATACTTAATTGCGAATTATATGGATGAACAAAATCCCTATTATGTGTGTAAGAGATTTCGGAACTCTTTGCTAAAATAATTAAAATTAAAAGTCAAATATAATTTTTGAACACTTTTATATTATTAAAAATATATAATTCGACTCTCGAAATATATTAATTCATTATAAAACGTATACGTATTAGTATTTTTCACATATTAAAATGATTAGAATAAATTAAATTAATTATTAAAAAACTAAAAATTAATTAAACGACTTAGACTTAGATGATAATAATAATGAAACATTTATTAAAAAATAATTATAATAGGTCAGGTTAATATTTTATTTATTTATTTATTTACATCATAAAATTCTGTCCTTTCCGAAATACGCGAACGCTACGAAAAGATAAATCTCGTACATGCCGCCGGACGAGTTCATGAGCATGAGACGCTCTTATCTTGGGAACGTATTAATAGTTACTGCATTGACCACTACTACGATATGGCGCTGAAATCAGTGAGAAATGCTGGTCTCTCCTTCATCCAGACCTTTGGCGATCTGTCTATTAATCTGTGTCGTGTCGACGTCGTCTCAACATTTTAACGCACGCGCGGAAATGCTCGCGTGTCTGTATTAATAGATTTTTCCTTTTTTTTCCGCGTCAAGGATAAATGTAAATATAAAGTGCTACTTACGTATCGATATTGTTATATTATCTTTAACAGAAGGAAATATAAAAATAAATATATTTTTTTAAGACTCGTTTCTATAAAAAAAATGTAGTATATTTAAATTATTATATATCTTTTTTAAAAGAAAAAAAAAGAAATATTTGAAAAAAAACTTTGCTTCCATATAGCTTGATGAGAACAACTGTAGATGTTTGAAGTTTGAATATCTGTTTGTACGAATTTCATCAGCACGTGTACGTTTGTTTTATTATTGTTGGATTTGTGATTTTTGCCATTTAATTATTTAATCGCTGTCGATATGTATATAATGTGATTTATTATTAACTAGTCAAGTAATTATTAAGAAAATTCCGTGTGTAATCACGATTGTTGAGGTTATGTAACCACGTTGACGTTTGCAAGCATATATAACAATAAAGTTGAATCTTTCAGAATTATGAAAACTAAACGAATTAATAAGGATGGGTGGAAACCTGTAGCATTGGAAGGTACTTTACTGTCCAATGGCATAGAAGGATTAATTGGAATAGAGGAATTAACCGATTATAGTTTGGAGCATATGCAAAATAAAGATCCACGCTGGCAGAACAAGAAGAAAGGTAAAATTATAACCACAGAAATAACGTCTGCCAAAAAGAAGAAGGTAAGTAATTTGTTTTATTGATATTTATTTTGATATTTTGAAATTTTTAATAAATTACTTAATTATTGAATTATAGTCAGCAGTAAAACGCAAATGTTTAGATGATTCGGAAGAAGCTGATGTTGACAGTGTGTCTTCCGTAAAGAAAGTAAAAGTCAAGAAAGCTAAAACAAAGAAAACAAAATCAACGGACTTCAAAACTAGTAATACAGATATTAATTCTGATGATGGTGAAAATGATTTGTACTCTGACACAAATAATAGTAAAAGCTTGGCAAAGATTAATGTCGAAGCATGGAGCTCTATGGGTGTTCCAACTATTGTGATAAAAGCTTTAGCTGATCAGAATTTTTATGGTCCTACTCCGATACAAGCTCAGACATTGCCAGCTGCTATATTAGGCCGCAGAGATATATTAGGTGCTGCTGAAACTGGTAGTGGTAAGACATTAGCTTTTGGTATCCCAATAATAAAAGGCATTTTGGATTTGAAGAAGCAGCAAATGGAGATATCAATGTCTAAAGAATCTGTAAAACATGACCTTCAAAATAGAGGATGGAATAATCCAGAAATAGGTATTATAACAATATTATTTTATTAATTATTTTGTTATTTTTATAAATTGATTTAATGCATTAATAGCTACTATTAATTCTTTAAATTTAAATATTTTGTAGAGAGTAATTCTGATTCAGAAAATGAAAATATACCAGAATCTGAAAATTGTGTACATGTCGTGAATAATATAAAGTTTGATAATTGTCAAAATATTGTAACAAAGCCTTTGTATGCATTAATTTTGACACCAACTCGCGAATTAGCGATACAAATAAAGAATCATCTTACTCAAGCAGCAAAATATACAGATATTAAGGTGAGACTAATCTTTCTTGAATTTAACATATATAATATTATATAATATTATTCTTTAGATAATATAATTATGTATAATTTTAATTGTAATATATTATTACAGATAGCTGTTGTTCTTGGAGGTATGGCAGCAGTAAAACAAGAAAGGATATTAAATAAAGGTCCTGAAATCGTCATTGCTACACCTGGCAGATTATGGGAACTAATTCAAGAAGGCAATTCTCATCTAAGTAAAATTGATTCTATTAGGTAATTGTCAATTTTTAAGCAGAAGAGATGTTTTTTTTTTTTTTTTTTTTTTTTTAATCTTTTATGCTACATTATTACATTATAAATTATTGTTATATAATTTATAATAGGTATTTGGCCATTGATGAGACAGACAGAATGATGGAAAAGGGTCATTTTCAAGAATTACATGATATCTTGGAAAAAATAAATGCAAATTCGATCAAGCTAGAGAAACGGCAGACATTTGTTTTCTCGGCAACTTTAACAATGGTTCATGACCTACCAGATTATCTCGAAAGAAAAAAGAGGCGATATGTCAGGAGTAGAATATCTAAACTCACTTCTGGTCAAAAATTGCAAAAGATTATACAATTGTTAAAAATAAAGAATCCTAAAATCGTCGATCTTACAAAAGAATCAGGTATGCATGCATTTTAATCAAGGAATGTGAACTTGTTTATTATGTATTAATCAAATTTATATTACCAGGTATGGCCGATAACTTGACAGAATGTCGAATAGCGTGCACAATCGACCATAAGGATTATTATCTTTATTATTTTTTGAAGAGACATAGTGGAAGAACATTAGTATTTTGTAACAGCATTGGTTGTGTCAAAAGATTGTCCACTCTCTTCAGCATACTTGAGTGCAAGCCTTTACCTCTGCACGCTAATATGCAGCAACGACAACGTCTAAAAAATCTCGAAAGGTTGTGAAATGTATATACATGTACATATTAAATATATTTCTCGTGAGATTTGTACTAATCGAAAGAGGGATTTCAGATTTCAAGCTGACGAAAATGGACTTTTGATAGCTACGGATGTAGCCGCCCGAGGTTTAGATATACCTAACATAGAGCATGTAATACATTATCAAGTTCCCAGGACATCCGAGGTAAATATCTGAAATATCAATGTTTATATAGTATTGTAATGCTTATCACGAGATTAATTTGACAATTATTTTACAGAATTATGTACACAGAAGTGGTAGAACGGCGAGAGCAGAAAAAGAAGGTATCACAGTTCTAATAATGGAACCTTCTGAAAAACAGAACTATAGCAAATTGTGCAAAACTCTTGGACGCAGTACGTTTACATGATAATATTAATATTCACTTATTATTAATAATTAGAAATATAATAATAATAATATCAATCTGTTTTCAGCACACGATTTACCCACATTTCCTGTAGTGGACAGGCTATTAATCGCTGTAAAAGAAAGAGTGGATACTGCTCGCGATATTGATAAGTTAGAATTAAAATATCGCCGACAGAATACTCAAAAAAGTTGGTTACGGAAAGCAATGGAGGAAATGGATATGGTCGTGGACGACGACGATGATGAGTAAGAGAAATAAATTGGTTTGCTCATATTTTCACATACAATCTGTACAACGTAAATTATAATATCTTTTTTATTTTAGTGAATCATCAACGGAATTGGAAGAAGCAGCAGCATTGAGACGACAATTAAAAGTAAAGAAAAATCAGTTGCAGTCTCAGTTATCAAAACCAGTATTCCCGAAAGGATTCTCAGGAAAGTATCTCGATGATAATTTAAACATAGATCCTGCTCAGAATACAGAGAAAGCTATCGAAGTGATGAAAAAAGTAATAAAAAATCTTGATAAAAATCAAGAAAACAATACTATACGTCGGAAAAAACAACGACTGTAAAACATTTTCAAAATTAAAAAATATATATTTTGTTTATATATATAAATCATGTTGAATTTTCTTCATCGCATCGTTTTGCTGATTTAATATTCATTAAAAATATGGGTTTCACGGGACAATCACGAGTTAACAAAAAGTAAATTTTATTTTGACGCAGATTATATTTACATTCATAATTAATTTGAGCCATTCATCATTCTAAGAAACATATTTTTAATATGCACATGTTTCTTTTTTAATTGTTAGTAAATTAAAGTATGGCAAAGGGTATGTACAGAAGATTTCTGCATTTTTCTACAAACACGTACATATTTCCTTGATATGCACATGCTTATGTAATATAATACATTTCTCGAAACAGCGAATAGAGAATTGATCGATGAACACAGCCGGTTTGCCTACACTTTAAAAATTTCACATATCGCTGGCTCGAGTTACAATTGAATTCCTTTTACATTTTCGTGATTATTAATATTATATAAACACAATAAACGTCAATCCGACAATCTCAGAACACGGTATTATATATCACTTCGTCCTCCGTACTAATAATGGAGTCTATCTGCTCAGTCATCACCATCGAGTTCGCGTATCTCTCGTTGTCGATCATATTGTGCGTTTTCAAGGACGACTCATGGCTCTGCACGACGATCCTGATTCGCGCCATCACGTGACTTCCTGGACATTTTTGCACCTGGTTTACCATCGCGGTGTCACAAATTTCGGCGTAGATCTCCTCGTTTTTGTTGCTGGTCCTGATCAGCTTCGGTGGTGATGGCAACGGGGTCAAACTGTCCCTCACGCGAGAATAATTGGGCTGCAGCTCGACGGACGTCGGTGGTATTTCCAACACGCTAGTCGACACAGATCTCTGCACTGGCTGCTTGGTGTTTTGATTCTGACGAGTCTGATGAGAGGTAGTTTCAGGTTCCAAACTGGAGTAACGTTCCTGAGATCTCATGGCTATCTCCGGCCTCACCGCGAATGTGAACGAGGCCGATTTCTTCGCGGGATTGCGATTTTTGCTACTTTGAGCGAGTTTCGAGATTCTCTCGAGAATGCCATTTCCGGTGCTCTGCTTTGTCTGTTGGTTCCGTTCTTTCGCGGTACTCCGCTTCAGATGTTCGAGTCCATTTTTCAGACTTTGCAGAATCGGTTTAGACTCCGGCTTCGGCTTGATCTTCTTCAGATGCATCTCCTTCAGGGTCTCGGCTGTCGGCGGTTGCAGTTTCACAGGCGCCACTCGCGGCTCGGTTGCGCGATCTCCGACCGCTCGACTGTGAAGTAGAAAAACCAGTTCAACCACATAGAATATAAATTCTAATATATAATAAACTGACTGATGATTTCTGCGATATATGTCACATTTTTAAGGAAGTTAGACGCATCGAAAAACCATAATTCGAAATTTTATTACGAATAATACGGTTGACAAATTAAAAAAAAGGATATTTTTATTGTAATTTATACTTAGTGATTAATTTGAATAATATGCTAAAGTCTTAGAAAATGAAATTTTAATTTTATTAAAGTAAAGTTAATTGTTTGCTTTAAATTCAATTAATTGCTTTTACCTGCAGGCTGATAGTAATCGTTGTATTTTCGGGGAGGCCAGCAATCTGGCCTCTGAAGGATAACCCAATCTGGCTCTTCGCACTCTCGGTGCACCGTTACCGGACACTACTAATTCGAGCATTTCCGGATTATGCACTGGTCTCTCCGGAACGACGCAGCCCAAAACTATTGGACCTCGCGTCGACGTTTCCAGCTGCATTAGACCGCCGTATTCCTTCGGCAACGGCACCGGCAGTGGTCCTGCTATCAGTCGTACCTGAAACGACAAATATATTATTAATCTATTTAATCGATTAGGGAAAAGAATGAAAAAAATGGTAATAAAATATTTCTCAGCGCTGGTTATTAAAAGAGATAGAAATGAGTTTCGTAAGAACGACTCACTCTGAGAGGCAATTGCCTCTTGGCGAGATGGTGAACCTTGTAGAGCACCGCGTCACTTCCGGTATCGACGCTTCCGTTTTGACAGATCGCGTAAAACTCGCCCCTCGTTGACAGCGAGGCGAACACCTCTCGTCCCTGAAGGTCGATGCATTGTGCGTATTGATCCTTTTCGGGATATCCGCCGGAGATCCCGAAGGAGACCGAGCTGCATCTCCTCGTATCCTGGAAGACCGCAACGAGCCGCAGTATCTCACCGGCTCTGATCGTCGTCTTGGTATAATGGGCGCGCAGATTTCCGTTCTCTGAAAAAAGACAGAATTGATCGTATGGATATCGCAACCGCGATATTATTCGCGATGTTGCGAAGGTACAAAGGGCGTCGTGATCATGCAACTCGTTTCTTCGATTATGTTGCGCGCGCGGGTCCCGTTAACAACGCGTTGAATCTCAAAAGAAGCCCGGCGTATAATCGATCCTGGCAGCAGTCGATGTCCTAAAGGCATCTTTAACGGTACCGAACGATACTAAAAGGCGGCAGAAGTCCTTTCCAGTCAGTGTCCGATGGTCTCTCGCGCGATATATTGTACGCGTATCTAATATTAGGATCGGAGACTGAGATTCCAACCGCTGCCGTTATATACTCGTGTTTTTATTGATAATCCCGTTTTAACGAAGCTTCAGTTTTATCACGTGGTAGTTTACATTTCTTATTAATGCGTCTCATCGGTCTAATTATTAGCCGATTTACGATACGTTAAAGTGTCTGGCCGCAGTCCGACAGAAAAATGTTCGGAACTCTTCCTCTATCAATTTTAACAAGATTGTAAAGTAGACATGAGAGAAATCTTTACGCGTATAAATGTGTAAACAGAGTTTTTAATGAATTTTATTGAAATTGAGTCTTTTAATGAACATCTTCCTATTCGTCTCGAATATCTTTTTTTATTTATACACGCGCGAATATCTTTTCATTTTTATATCTTTCAACTTCTAGACTGTCAACAGAAAAATTATTGAACGTGGTAATGGGCAATATTTTTTGTAAAAAAATATCCTTGAAAAGATATATTTTCGAACGTACATTTCTGTTTTCGTGCGGAGCAAATGAAGATAAACAGAGAAAAAGATCACTTTCTACATTGCATCGATATGCATCTGGGTCAAGAACGTTGCATCGCTTGACATTTCGCGAACGATCAAGATCGCGATCGCGGCACCTTCCAAGTTTCTTCTGTCAGAACTTACCCATTTTCGAGTGTGTCAGCGTGTAAGCTCTTAAAGGTGTCGCGAGCAGAAACACCGGCACTCCTGTCTTCACCAAAGAATCCACCCTTCGGTAGACGCGTGCACTGCCCGTCGTGTTATTGCCAGATATCACAGAAAACCATCCTGAAAAAGATGAAATGTTAAATATCAATGCGAGAAACTGTTCGAGAAAGATACATGGAGGATTTCGCTTTGATTCTAAACTAAACATGACATTAATAAATATAATAAATACCATAAAGTTTGGTTCCACATATCGACCAATAGATTATTATCTATTTAATGAGTACAAGTTCTTCAAAAAGAAAAAGAATACTCAAATTTAATTATATAGCTTTTTTGTATCGTATCGTTTTATAATTGTCAAAAAGCAGTAGTATATAATTTTTTGGACATGGAAAAAAGAATGTACAGTTTGCTTTTGTTTGACGCAAAAGAGAGAATCCGAAGGCTGAATTTTTGTTAATCGTAGCAAGAATGATTGGAAGAGACCAGTCGGCATCTGTTGAAACAGCATTTAATGTACGCTGGTAGCTCCGGGGCGGGTTAAAAAACGTATCTATCTGAAAGGAAGGAACTACGTGCTTCTCTTTCTGAGGCTTCAAGCTGCTCGTAAAAAAGAAAAAAGATCCTGCCAAATTGCAAACAGGCGATTTCAGCTGCGCGCGGTTGCACACGGAGACACAGTAGCCGAGTGGTCGGTCGACTGATCGAAGGTCGGCTGGTTCTTTTGCTCGTCGTTAATTGATTTAAGAATGCCGCCCCGATCCCCGATATGCGAGCGCACGTCTCGAATCCCGCCCCTTAAGGCCCGCTCGTTCTGGAATGCAAAAGAAGGACGGACCCGCCTTGCCGAAAATCCTGAATCCTTCTATTGAAAGCGAAATTAACACTGGACTTTCTTAAATAATTCATTTATAACGAGACCGAAAAAACTTCAAATTAATTGAATTTATTAAAATATTACAAGTGACGATTAAAAATTAATTATATAAAAAAAATAATTATTTTACTAAAATGTAGTTTTCTTCCTATACCCAAATAATATATTAATTTTATCAATTATTTTACATATTTATTAATATGTATATTATATGTATTTTATATTTTATTCGTTCTTTCATTCAATTAGAAAAATATTCAGGATTCGAGTTGAACGTCGAGCAATCGAGAATCGCATAAACAAGAAAAAGAGTATATGTGCATGCGGAGAGAGAGGAAGGGCAGTTTCCCTTGGGAAAGTTTTTCCGTTTGCAGGTTGCGCGCATTAATTCTCTGTTCGAGGTTAACTGATGGAATAATCTAACGGCCGGCGGGACTCCTGGTTTTTGTTTGTTCTAGATCAACGACCTGGAAAACCGGCGCGCAATTAAGACGGACGATATTGACTCTACGGTCTTGAGAACGCCTCCTAGGGAGTTAATGGGAGAAGGAAGGGTGTTCTCTCTCAGCCCACCTCTCGGTACACAACGCATAGAAGGACGCGGCGTCTATCTCGGGACGAGAACGTGTATCCCGGAAAAGAAATGTTGCGAAGGCGTACGCTCGCAATTACACAAGCGTGTACGGCCTTCCCTCACTTTCTATTTCTACGCGCGCATCCGACTCAGGTATATAAGAGAGATACCTCGGCAAGAGAGCGCGTTCGGTTCGTAATTGTAGGGATCGCCGCATCTGCTGCGAAAAATCTACGGAAAAGTTCAGGCATTCAGACGCACGCCAACCATTTCTTAACGCGTCTTATTGTCTTGCGTAATTATGAGATTACGCGCTTATCGATTCGCGTAATGAGCCCCGGCGAAACCTTATCCAGGCAACCTATTTTTGTGAAAGCTAGCTAAGCAACGTGACTATCTTTGTTTTTTTTTCAGACAAGAAAAAGAGCACTAAAATATATAAACATACATAAATGTATGCAATTAAAAAATGAATGGAGCTTAATTAAATTTATTTGTGTTAAGTGATACAAAACATCACATTACTGCGTGAATTTTAATAACGGGATATATTCTAAGAAACGTCTAGCTATAACTTTTAATAGAGTTCATTAACTCTTTCCCAGCTTCACACTTCATAGAGCATGAACGCTTTATTGAACAAACACGAGACGTATGATACATCGAGCAGTCTTTCTAAGCGTGAATCGACAAATTAAATGTTCCTGAAAATCCATTTTATCCATTTATATCATTTTGAACGTATCATCGCCGTAGACACCGTATTTACGATTCAGAATCCCTATATATCGGTATGTGTAACACCATAAATACTGATCCGTTAGCAAACGGAACACGTTGTAAATTAATTTCAGGCACGTGTCTAAATTTAATGCTCGAATATGCAGCACAGATTAGATGGAAATATAAGAGTATCGTATTTCTTGAGATCCTAAATGTGATTAACAGACCTGACAAGATTTTTCGATGTGATCTTCCTTTTCTAAAGAGCCAAATACCTATAAATATTTTATATCAGTCGATAATTTAAATTTTTGGAGGAATGTAATCCGAAAGTGATTAACTAATTAACTTTGCAAAATAATTAAAATTAAAAATAATTTTTTGTCATCAAAAAATATTGATTGAATAATTATCGTTATCGTTGTAATAAAAAAAACCTCTTTCTCAAACTGTGTATCATGCCGGTCTTGATAACAATCCAAGGACTCGAAGCGAGGATTGCAACAACCCAAGAAACCGGACGTTGGCCTGCGCTCCAGCTGCGCTCGTAAAAGTTACGTTATACATTGCAACACGCTTCAAGAATTTATCCTAATTCCTGTCCACCCATTTGGCATAAAACTTTCAATAAAATAAATGACAGGCTTAGTCATCGGTGCACGTGGTTCGATATACGTATCTGTGTGATGTGCAAGTATTTAACTTTTGTCTAAAAATCTGAATCTAGCAAACATAACAGGCGAATTATTCCATTACGATTAATTGATGAATTTTCGAAGTAATGAAAAAAATCTAATTATTTAATTGTGTTAATTTATCGAGAGAAATCATCATACCCTAAAATTATTTGTCATCGTATTGCAAGCGTTGACTACGAAAAGATTTTTCATTCATTCTGAGCTAGATTCTGCTGAGTAATGAAAACGTGATTGAATATAGTAGATTGCATGCGAGATTCGTGACAGCGATATCGATAGGATCGAGAATATTTCGACGCGAGAAATCACCGGTGTCGGCGTGACGTTTCAGGTAAACATTGTGGTATCCAGGTGCACGATATATGTGTTTAGGAGGAGCATTAAGTAAGGAAGAGACTGCAGCCTACACATACACATATACACACACATCTCGCGGGTGGAATCTTTATTGTGCATAATTCACGTTACGCCGCGCGAGACCAATCATTCGGGATATAATATTACCTGGACGTGAATCGAACCGTGACAATAGTATACGGTTTCTAGGCTCTCTGCTATCGATAGTACCTGTTGCAGAATTTCTGCTATACTTCATTGATAGCGATACATTTTTATAATTGCTAAAAATTGAATAATTAAATTTTTTAAACTTCAGTCTTTTAAAATTTAACAATTTTCTAAACAACTTATGTAACATCCAATCGATAGCTTTTCGCAATAAGAGAAGACAAAAAAAATTAAACAAATATTAAGAAGTGATTTACTGTCCTAACAAATCGAAAGTAGTACATTGATATTAGTAATAATATCGATAGAGCTGGTGTGGAGATCATGACGACAGAGTACGAAGGATTCGAAATTTATTGGCTAATAGGTCGCTATTTATATCTATAATTTTGCAGAATTTAGACGAATCGACTTCGCACGAGGGAGGAGAAGGAAGTGAGAGATAGAAGCAGATAGATTGAATTCTTTCTCGTTTTTATCTCTCTTTCCTTTGTCGTGGAAGTCGGTATACCCTAGTCGGACGTGTAGCCAGCATTGGCCGCGATACCCCAGAGAGTTATACCCTGGCACGTAATGACCGTTATTTAAAACCAGGGAGGCCGGTCATTGCCGAGGGCGCGTCTGGCCAGCGCAACATTCTTGCCTTGTGTAAGACCCCTGTCCAAGAGGTCTATGCGAACAAATAACAATATATATATAGTTATTTGTTTATATGTATATACATATACACACATATACACGTCACGTTACAGAAAGAAAGCCGGGACATGTCCGCTGGACCAGGCACTTGGCAGTAAAACCATACGACTACGTCGGATAAGCCGATCTATACGATCCCTCTCGGTTCGCAATCACGATCGCAATACCGCACGCAATTCATTCTCCGTTTCTCCGCATGTCTAGAGAGAAAGAAAGAAGTTCTAAACGCATGAAATCGCCAATCTCTCGACACGCACGATCGTCGATAACTCTCAGGTTCTGCGTCCGTGTAAATTGATTAAGATGATTACTTCTTGACTTTAATTTATATTTACTTTTTCTTTATATCTAATATAAAATATTTTTATAGCTCGCACTGAGAAATAAGTATAGACCTTGCTTTGCATGTAATATTTATCTTATCCTTTAAAATGAAAGGCTTTCAAATACACTTTTCTTGCTGAATATCTCGCTAAACATCGTTTCGCACACTATGCATTGTACTCTCATGTTTAATTTTTTTATGACAGTCTACCTTTCTTCCGCGCGTAGGATCATTTACCTTTCTTTTTTTGCGACCAGAAACCGTGCATCATAAATATTCGCGATTGGCTGCGGTGAACTGTCAAAAGCGAAATTTCTTGTATACGTGTCATAATAAAACCGAGCACGCGATTATCTCATAACTCGTTCTATAAAATTTTAGGGTCTACTGGGACTGTCATCCCTTACGTAAAATAATGTGTTAACGGTGTAGTTAATGTAGAGAAGAAAAAAAGAACGTAGAGGCAGACGAGGGTCGCGTGAGACAGGAAGGACATCGACCTCGACGCGTCACCGACAAGAACTTCTCTCTTTCTCTTTCTCGAGATTTTACACGCTTAATAAATTATTGTAAACTGAAAACCGACTCTCGGCCGAGGTTTGCACGAATGGCAATTAAGCCACGGCCGGTGATTTGTACGATATCGTCCCTATCGGTCCGTGGAATCGGATGCGCGCCTCTGAATCTTCCCCTAGTAATTTTATCTCGGTTGAAGGTTCAAGTTGCTCGCCTCCGACGAGATTCCCTTTCGCTGGAGCGATGATTCGCGAACAGTCGACACCCTGAGCTTTCGATCTTCCTCTTCGTCACGCGACGCGAAATTGAAACCGAAGAATTGACGAATATCGCATTAATGATTGCTAATCTTATGTGATAAAGTGAGCGAGAGTGATATATATCTTTCATAATTTTAATTTTGTAGTTATTTATGCATAATACGTTGCAAAATTAATATAATTTCGCAGCGAATTATGCATAAATACCGGATTTCACAGTCTGAAACAAGCATGACTGTAACCGTGAATGACATTAGGCGGAATGAATTAAACCGAAAGGATATTACACAGAATGTTACCGCCACTCCACTATACACTTTAAGACACATTACACGCGGCTCCGTAACGCGTTTCTTATCCTCTCTCGAATGTCTTCATTTCGTCCCTCGCGGACATTGCGCGCGATTCCTTGAATCTTTCAGCGTTAGGCGCAGAGAAAATACTACGGCGCGCGCTTTTTACTTGTCGGGATATAAGCTGATTACGATGATGTATAATGGGCACATAATGTACGATGCACATGCCTCTAATACATCTAGCTAGCTGCAACTTATGATTCTCCGGCCGATGAAAGCCAGACTCTCGCAGACCCTTTTTACCCGGTCTCGCCGCCGCGGGAAAATTGCGAATGACGTGATGCAGACACACGTGGAATCGCGATGGATGTTTAATCTGCTTGATACTAATTGTCCGGCAGGTTGAATCGGAAAATATTTGCTTAGGATGCCGCTGGCGAGATTTAATATTTTTCCACGTAGATATGATATTCTGACACGACAACTGTTATTTAATAATAACAAGTCAAAATTCAATCTATCGAGAAATTATAATATTTTATTATAATATTTTATAATATTTTATGCAGTGGAAGTATATAGTGATGGAAAATTTTATATTCACTTTAATATTGAGGAAAAGTGTTTTTTCGTCGCAATTTTATCAACGTTATCGATTGCTGTTTGTGATTCTCGCACGTGATGTAGGCGGAAGTCGAATGCGACGTGTTATATATCGCCCTGTCGACGCGTGCGATTACAATGTGATTTCGTGCAACACCCGGAACGGACTTGCATTTAACAGCAGCCGGCGATCGTGCATTTCACGCACGTGCGCCGAGCTGGACAAATGGGATTAAAGCCAGATGACGAAAGTGTCCGGCTCGGAATCGTGCCGTGCCGACCATTTGAAATTCCACGATGACGCGCGAGGAAAAGCGGTCGGGGAAGACGTAATAGGAAGGCAAACAGAGAAAGAGAGAAGGATACTTTTGTCCTGTAAACTAGAGAAATTTATCACAGCGCGTTGGTCGGAATTTAGACGACGTGGTCGCTCGCCAGCTTTGAATACTGAGAATTTCTATTTTCCCAGAGCAAATCCGTGCCGGAAAGAGTCCCTTGTTCTCCCGGTTCCATAAAACTAGACAAAGTTACCGCGGGGTCGAATCTCAAGGAAAAATAATTCCGCAGTTAGGGGATGGGCTGAAGAAGGAAGAGGCGCGGTTTCAGCCAGGAAAGAGTCATCTTTCGTTTCATCCGCGAAAGAAAAACGTATACAGGATCCATAACGCCGCGTGACTTCTCATTCGCTTCAGCCTGCTCGGCCGATCGTTTTTTTCCCAGAGGGATACTCACGAGCAATTCGCTATTTGATCTGCATGTCTCCACCCGTTACTTTTTACACGGAACGGTCAACAGTAAACGTCCGACGACTTTCTTCTTTATCGCCGCGGCATCGCGCGAAAAGCGTTTAAAACACGGAACTAATTCGCCCGAGACGTCTGGCAGCGCGACGATGGAATCGCGTTTTTTTTCCTATCGCATGAATTACGTCGCGGCAACTTCGTGGCGAATTCGTGGGCGTGGAGCAACATTTCCGGCTCGGAATTTACTGTTAGTGCCTTACGCGACTTATACGCGACGTAACCAATACGCTCAAGCGTCTCCGCGACTCAAGTGTCAATTTATCCGCGAACAGGATTCCATTCGATTCTTCGGAATTTCTTCCTCTTCGTCGCGAACTTAACGAGCAACCTCTGTTCTCCCAGCGCATCCATCTCTCTAAAAACTTCATTCGAAAACCTCGCCGAGAAAGCGCACGAGAGAGCCGGATCGTTTTTTTCCCAGATTCGTCACCCGCTGTCCGACTAGACGTGACTCGATATCCCGTGCGAAGAATTTCAAGCAGAAATCCGCGCGCTGTCAAACGAGCACAGTGAAAGGAGAAGAGCCAGCGAGCGAATTGTCGAAGTCATTCCGGACCGTTTCAAAATCGGCATCTTTAATAGGGACTATAAATTGTTCGCCAGCATTTTGAACTCTGTTCAGAATTATCGTGAATCATCGATCGCGAAATAAATTATCGATCGACGTCGTTTCTCTGGCATGAATCATCCGGATTGCTATCGAGCACGAAAAAAATTGCATGACGAAAATTTCGATAACTATGACATCAATACAACGAATATATTTCCCCATGATTCATCAGACACATTTGTAATCGGTTTATCCGTAATCGCTTTGTGTCGTTCATTAACGAGATAGAAGAAAGAGAGATTCTCGATAATTCGTAACTCCAGCTACTTCACATATCTCATAATGACTATCTCGTCTGATCGACGACATTTCATTCAAAATACAAAGTGCATTTATTAGGTGTAATTAGCGATAGTTGAGCACGACACTGTCGTGCACGATGGTAATTCCACACGCTGTGATGAAGACAAAAAAAGATCAAGAAAAACGAGAGAATGAAGGAGACGAAGCAGAGGAAGAAAAGCATATGAGGGGTAAAAATGCCGATATATTGAATAGCATCTCGTGCGAAAGAAGCAGACGTCGTTAGTTGATGGGTCTCTCCTTCAAGCCCTCCAGCCACCACCGAACCTAAACGTTCCCTCTACTTTATCTCTCGCCCATTCGATTTAATAGGTCCGCATTACCGCGCTTTATTGCCTCATAATTTCCATTTCTGATGCCAGAAAACCAATATAAGTCGCGCACGCAGGAGCAGCGGCCTCCACCGTGCGGCGAGTTTCGCGACTTACTTCGCTACACAAAGTGCTTTATGATTGAAAGGGGAAAAAATAAGTTGGAACATTAATCGTATGATGGAGAGCTTTCCCTCTCCCTTTCTTCCTAACGCGCGCGCGAGATCGGAGCATTATAATTTTTCTTGTAGCCTCTCTCGCGTCCACGCGAGCACCAACGCAAATGCCCGATAGAGTCTATAACCTGTTCCGATGATTCCAGCCGGATGATCTCCACAACCGTTACCGTTCACTCCGCCGAGCATAATTTACGCGCTGCACGCTGTCATCTATCACGGCCATTAAAATAGAAGCTACATCGACATCAATCCAAATAAAATTAAAGACTTAGCTCTCTCTCTCCACAGAGCAAACACGTCTAGAAGATTTAATATCCTTTGGTATTTTTTTAAGTTGTTCCCAGTTATTTTTCACATCTTCAATTAATTAATTATAAATTAAATCGCTTTACGAATTGAAGCAAAACTCACCTGGATAACCTTCCGGAATGACGATCTCCGGTCCCACTTTGACGTCGTGTCGGTACCGGTGTATCAGCAGACTCGCTGTGACTCTCAGCGATCGTTGCTGCTGCTTGTATAGAAGCACCGGTCTGCCGCCGGTGCCCTCGAGTCTGACGACCCGCGGTAATGAGAATCGATCCAGGAACTCCCGTAACGGCATGTATCCGCCGCCGGATCCGGAACCACCCTCGGCGGTCGCCTCCCTCGAGCTCGGCAGGGACTTGGGCAGTGAAGGCATCTCCTCGCTGGACATCGTTGAGAATTCGCCGTTCGACGACATGATCTCACACATCTTGAATTAGCTTCACTTCGCGAACGATTCTCAGGAACATCGAGACACACGTGCAGTCTGGTCACCGACGAGAGTGTAATAAAAGACGACGCGACGATTCGACCGAGATTGATCGAGCCTCTTCAGGGTGATGTCGAAAAGCTCGTAACGTCATCTAATCCTCGTGGTGGCGGAGCGAGCGCGACGCTTGCTTTCGACAGCATTTTTGCTCCTCTTTCGAGACCCGCTCATCACCACGTAATAATAACGGATGCTTGTGTGGACGCACTTTCTTCTTCGGTTATGTCACTCCGCGGCAGCTGTCACTTTCCGTCTCGTGGCACGATAATAGTGACACCAATTCTTTCAACAAGGATTATTTTTGACATTTTGCACTACGCAATAAATTTCTTTCGCAAATTGCAACGCGAGAGAAAAATGAAGGAAGTATACGCGGCTACAGTTACGTATCTCTTGAGCAAAAATCGATTTTTATTATCGAATTGCGTATTGATTAGCAGCCGGGGCTCGACAAGTAATACTTGAAAATTTGCTTCACTAGACACTAAACTGTTACTCGAGGCAACAGCGCGTAGTGAGATCGAGAATCACGAAACACCGTCCAACGAAATGCACACGTATCTTCTTATGAAAACTAGCAGGATCTATCGATAATATCCGCGAGAGATGGTTTACACCGGCGAGCGATGAATATCCGTCCCTCTGTAGAGACGAGGTATCTTCCGGATGTCCTGTTCCCGATGATGAACGACGATGAGGCCTGCTCTTCCGGGCTGTTTCGTTTTCGTTAGCGTTTGCCGAGGCAGATGGATAGATGGATTCAATGGACGCGCAATCGAATGATGGATCCCGCTTGACTAACCGAGCCGCTGGCTTCTCTCTTACTCTCTCTTTCTCTTTTTCACTCTATCTCTCCTTACACGAAGGCAGTTATCTCCCGCAGTTCGATCCCCGTGGCGTTTATGATTTACCGGTGCAGTCGGCTTTCTTTCGCCGTTTCTTACGCGGACCTCGCGAGATATATCTCGTGGCGCGGACGCTTTTATTGCTTTATACCGTGCATGCGAGCCGCAGGGTGCTTTCGGACGCCTCGATAACTGGGTCTGAGCTGCATCCTGGTAGCCTCCGAACAGGACCTACCGTATACCGCGAGGTAAGAGGAAGGTAGAGAGGTCCCGCGGGGATATCCCTCAGACACCTTGTCGGCCGAGGTCGCGATGCATCGCGGTGGTCTGAAACAGATAAGCAGAAGATACGGTCAAAGTATACTTCCATCCACGGAGTTTGATTGCGGCAACGCATCGCTTTATAAATCGGAGCCGGTGTGTGTTTCTTTAACAAACGCGCTTGCGTTTATCCCGCGTTAATCGCACGCCGCAACTCAAATGGTAGTTGCAATTCTTTACGATGCACAATGAAAGTCATTGTAAATTGTGATAAAATAGCCAAATTTAAGAAAAAAAATTTGCGAGACAAGTCGTATATTTATTACAAAATTTTTAAAAATCGCGTATAAAAACAAAAAAATTTCCGCTGTGATAAACGGAGTAAAATATCTAATTATGAATATCCAGTTCTCTCTTACCGCACACATTCGGCGCCGATTTCCGAGAAACGACGAGAAATCGAATGATGGAAATGAAATTTGAACAATCGATCCGAGAGCAATGCGTGATTTCTACGATCTCCGCGGAAGGACGCGCCTCTTGGAGAGGATCCGATCGGATCGGCGGACGCGAAGTCACTGACGCCCGGCTCGGAGTGAGCCGAGTGTAAGAGGTCCACCGACACCAAGAGCTGAGCACACACACGATCGCTGGTGTGTGCTTCGTGTGTGCCACCCCACCTCTACACAAGCCGCGTTGTCAGTGCTACACAGCGATATACCAGCGACCTGAAACTCGCCCGCGGAGTCCCTTCGGTTAACAGAATACGCGCGCCGACTTATACGTGGGTTTTATTCAATATAAGATCCTATTGTTGCCCGCGAGAGGAGCTGTTGCCCCACAGGAGCCGCGCGCACCGCCTTCGATACACATACTTCCTTCCTAGGAGCGTGTAATAATCGCCCGTAATAGCAGCCGAGTCAGTCTTCGTGTATGCACAGCAACGACGAGGCACGAGCAGCTGACAATTGCGGCGTGCTGGGATTAAATGGCAGCTGATCAGATCGCGGTTGGGATCAGGAGCTACTTCAGGACTGCGTAGATCAATCTCGACAGAAAGGAAAGATTGAGACGAACTTTACAAGATTAACTTTATTTTATATTGTTCTTAATTATTTAAATAATTATATATACAATACATTCAGAAGACAACATGCTTGGAAAAAATTATTTAAATTTTATCCAAATATCTTTAAGCGAAGACGTTTCTTTCTTGGAAGAAACATAAATCATGTATACCAAGCAACCTTACTTATTATTTTTTTATACAATACATTCAGTTTTTAAGAAACATGCTTGGAAAAAATTCAAATTAAATTTAATCCAAATATCTTGCAAGCACGTTTCTTTAAAAAATAATTTTACTTTCGATATTAAACTATTCTATCTTCTTCGATGCAGTTGATACTCGAATCCTTGGAAAATCACATTCTGCGCAGCAAAAACACAATAAAGGACACGCACTTTCATATAAAAGTGACTAAAATGTTACATGCGATTTCCTTATACGGCTGTACTTAAATAAAATGAGCGCAACTCCCTATATTTGGTAATACTCGGATGAGATTCAGCGAGGACGATCGCGTGTGATAGCCTTCTTCTTGCGCGCTGCTCGTAACGCGAATACTTATATACATTGTCTTGCACTTCAACGCGGGTAAAAGATCGTGAAAATTACGAGCGAACACCGCTGTGATTTCCGAGTGGGCGGAAAGTGGAACGACCTTGGATTTAATTTTTGTCGAGCGTGTATTACCGGTGCGGGCTGGCGTCCGTTACATCATTATGGATTTCTCTCTCACGAGTTACACGATTCTTTTTATGGAAATTGCTCAGACGCACAATAAGGAATTTAACATTCACTAGACGGTCTTTAATCCTATTAGACAAATTAGGATGAATAGAAGGAGGCAGAAAGGAATAGTAAAGAGTCTATAGAGATATTAAAAAATCTCTCACTTCAAGTTGAGAAAATTTACAATTTTGCGCGAGTTTTTATTAATTTTTTTTAATTTGTCTATTCTTCCTGCAGTATATTATGCGAGTGTTATGTCAAGCGAGTAATATCAGCGTGGCAATTACACACGTGATCGTTTGCCGGTTGACAGACGGAGGAAATCATTAGTCCACTACCGTTAAATCCGCGGATGAAAGCGTTACGCAATGCGAATACGCAATATCCTATTACCGATAATCGTATGATATAACCATCGCCATTATCGTCATCATCATCGTCATCGTCATTTGCACTGCCGTATACGTCGATTCTCGTCATTTGCGCCGCGTAAACGTAGCCGGATCTTGACTCGATCATTAACCGACCGCGCGAATTTCCGCCTGAGTTCTCGAAATTCCGGAGATTGTCGTTGCAATTTATGTCGTTGTGCTCTCTAGGATATAACGGTCTCACGTGTGATATTCGCGAGAAATACAACGTGAATTCGTATTCCCGTATTCGCGATAACATCAGTTCCGTCGGTGAGGATTGCGGTAATATATCTCTCTACTGCATAACGTGAACTAACGAACAAATATTTTGCTAATAGCGGGACAAATGATATGTGATGCACCGCACTGTCGAATGAACATTTCGTAAAAATTGTTAAATATTACATTGACGAGCAACCAAGCGTGTCATTGCATCGAAGAATACTTCGAAGTTGTTAATAAGAGATTGAAGAAATGGCGAGAGATCATGAAAAAATCTCACTATAAAATGATGAAGAACATATCTTATTACCATAATATTGTATATAGAAAAATCATTGTAACTTATATATTTTTTTGTGCTTTAGACAATTCCTCTTTTTATAATATTTTCAATTAATTAAATTAAATTATTTATTCCAATAAAAAATTACCTCGTAAAAATCAATTTTTTATATTACATGTTTTAAATAAATTGCTTTTTAATTCTGCTTCCCTTTTTTCTAGACAGATAATTATGTAAAGTTTAATAATGCTCAGCTTGCAATCTTTTCTATGACAATGCAAAAAGATATAAATATGAATATATATGCGAGACATTACTATTATTATCAAAATGACAACATATTACGACAGAGACTGAATGAGAGATTAGAAGGTGAATCAGATTTTAAGCTAAGCAGTCGTTTGCTGACTCACTTCCACACTCGTTTCAGTAGTTTATTCCACCAAGTCGTCTTCAAGTCGTCAGGGAAGCGGTTACTCTTCTTAATCACCATACTTTTCTTGCAACGTAAGTTTTTTGCGCTCATTACTTATACTCACGTCTATGTCGAGTTTTTTGAATATCGCATATAATGAAACGATGACTCTCCGACCTATCTCTCAAGATGAAGATCTCTCCGATAAGCTTTATAGAGAATCCGCCCCTGACGACGAGAACGGCCACCCCTTTAACGAGGCCGAAGTTACGACAACGAGCCTTCTCGGCCTCTCATCTGGCCGAGATGTTACACCGCGATACATATCGCGAGGGCAGTATGCGAAACACGCCGCGTTTATTAATATACCGTCGGTGGCGACGCGCGCGCCGGTCCATTTAATTCTATATTTACCGCAGGTGCGCTTAGCTAAAGCGGCGCGTATGTACAAGAGACGCGTACTAATCTGTGGAAAGGATCAGTCAAGGCGAGCCAGAGAGTCCATCGGCGAGGAAGAGATCCCCACGGCAGCTGGCGATGCTGCGTCCTTGCGCGGCCTCGCAAGGACAAGGTCGTCATTTTCGCAAATGCACAATTATTACCAGTGTTTCATAAGTGTGTGTTCCAAACCAGGGTGTGGCTCGCTATTCTTCCGATGAGAGAAAACAAAAGGTCTTTCCTCTTCTTTCCCCGTGGGTAATCACGCGCGCGCAGAGAGCCAAGATCAAGGGAAATGCTGTCATGTTCCAGCTGATACACGATTATGCACTTTTATATGTTCGCAAGGTCGACAGGAATCGTAATCGGACGCGTTTTTAGGATTCTTCGGCGAAGACTTCTTTTTTTATTCTGAAACCAGGACGACGCGCAGGAACTTTAATTGAAAGTTCACGTCAATCTCTAGAATGCTGTCTTGAGAGAAACTTAAAAGCAAAAGGCACTTGCCATTTCTACACGCACACAATATATAAATAATATTTTGTTAATTATATTAGAATATATACAATGAGAATTGTAGACTCTTAATCGTTTTTCTTTGAAGAATCGAATGTGGAAAGATTGCTTGAAAGGTGAAACTATCTACGATCCTTTCATTGAAACGTTTTACAAAGGAAACTCATCGATCAAGCGACGCATTACGTGCAAGACTCAACAATAAAGAATCGCGGAATTCCGGCGGATGATATTGACTTTTGCGGGGCCAGCCGCGGAATCGCGATGCATCATCGTCATCGCATCTGCCATCGTTGCCCAGGCAACGTAAGCGAAGGTGCAAATCGGCACTTAAGCGTTGACACTAATGAGCGCCGGCGATGCAACCGGTCGGTCGTCTGCCAGGGGTCGTCTCGCTGTAATTGGTTAGTTAGCACATTTATTTTATATGAAACCGTCACTGAGAAAAATACGAAGCGCGTGCGTCCTAATTGGGAACGGCTCGGCGTGGCTCTCGGCGTGCCGATCAATGCACGCGATATCGATCGTCGGATAGTTGACAAGCATGACCGAGTAACGTTGACCTCGGGAGGAAAGGGTGCTGAATAGCCCGAGTCATTTTCATGGCTAGGAGAAGCAGACATATTCGAGCCGAGACTTCAAGACGCGCGGACACTGCGTAATAGACCATTAGCGACTATCGCTCGATTATATCTCTAATCTTAATCCGTGCGAATTTTCTGTTGCACACGTTAGCTCGACGAGAGAGGCCTTTAGCGATCGTGGGACAACCTCGTGAGCCTCGGTACCTAACGTTTAGCGCGCAATTATCGATTTCGATCTCCAAGTTTGTATCGATACAGCGCACGAACGTGCAGCAAATTTTTCTTTCGTAGTATCCATAAAAATCATTTCATATGATTATAACTATCCCTTAGTAATATCTTAGTACCATATTCGAAGTAAATCTTATCATTAATATAAATAATTATAGATTTTAGGGAAAAAATTGTATTATACAGAATAAATATGGGAATTATAATTAATTACACAGATTATTTCGATTCTTTCGTGTTGTATGCGAGTATTTATTTCCACTAAATAAAAATATTCTTATTATCTTGATGCACCGCGCGATTGCATCGGAGTCAACGGGTCTATGTTAATGCGTTATTAGGTTCATAATTAATACCGCTAATAAAATACGCCTTATAGCCGTCTCCGGTGATAATAATATAAGAAACACACTCGCAGTCACGAGCGTGTTCTACCGATGGAATTTCATTCTGATATTTAATACTCCTCACGCTCCGGTTTATTAGTAAGCATTGTACCATCTAATACCCGAGACAGTTTCAATCGAAATGTCGTCATAAATCTTCACCGTATTACCAGTTTATCTTTGAACCTTCTGTCTGCATTATCCAATTATTCCGTGGAATTGGTCAAGGTTTAAAAAAAAATTTGCTCTCGCGCTGGAGAGGGAACACATTTGTTTCTAAGGCTAACCCCCTGGCTATATGTACCGGGAATTTTAACCCCGCCATCGCGGTTATTGAGAATCCCATAGATTTAATTAGACCTTGCACGAGATCATATCAATTTCTCTTCTCAGATTACTACGAAGAAAAACCGGTAGAAAGAGAGCGACTGGACTACAGGAGAAGAGTGGTGGTCACAAATGCGTAGGTTTTAAGCTCGCATCCCTC